TAGGATTATTTGCTCAGTTGTTGTTGTTGTTAGGTGGCATTGAGTCAGTATTGACTCATAACATCCTTATGAAAAGCAGAAAGGAACACTGCCCGATCCTGGGCCAACCTCACTACCTTTGCCACGCTTGAGTCCATCGAAGCTGCCACTTGACCAATCCATCTCACTAGGGGTCTTCTTTTCCTCTGACCCTCCATACCAAACATGATATCCTTCTCCAGTGACTGGTCCCACCTGACAATATGTCCAAAGTATAAGAGACGAAGTTTGGCCATCCTGGCCTCCAAGGAGCACTCTGGCTGCACTTCTTCCAAAACGAATCTATTGGTTCTTTTGGCAGCCCATGGCACTTTCAATATTCTCCTCCAACACCACAACTCAAAGGCATCAATTCTTCTACGGTCTTCCTTATTCATTGTCCAGCTTTCACATGCATATGAGGTTATTTAAAATACCATGGCTTGGGTCAGGCGCACCTTAGTCCTCAAGCTGACATCTTTGCTCTTCAACACTTTAAAAACTTCTTGTGCAGCAGATTTGCCTAATGCAATACATCGTTTGATTTCTTGACTGCTGCTTCTGTGAGTATTGGTAGTTGATCCAAGAAGAATGAAGTCCTTGACAACTTCAATCTTTTCTCCATTGATAAGAATGTTGTTTATTGGTCCAGTGGTGAGGATGTTTGTTTTCTTTACATTGAGATGTAATCCATACTGAAGGCTGTGCTCTTTGATCTTCATCAGTGAATATTTTAAGTCTTCTTCACTTTCAGCAAGCAAAGTTGTATCATCTGCATTTCGCAGGTTGTTAATGAGTCTTCCTCCAATTCTGATGCAATGTTTTTCTTCATATAATCCAGCTTCACAGATTATTTGCTCAGCTTACAGTTTGAATAAGTATAGTGAAAGAATACAACCCTGTCGTACACTATTCTTAATTTTAAATCATTCAGTGTTCCATGTTCTGTTCGAACAACTGCCTGTTGGTCTATGTACAGATTCCTCATGAGCACAGTGAAGTGTTCTGGAATAGTCTTCGCAATGTTGTCCATAGTTTGTCATGATCCACACAATCGAAAGCCTTTGCAGATTAAATTAGTATGGTGAAAGGATACAATCCTGATATACAGCTTTCCTTATTTTAAACAATATCCGTTTGTTCTGCTTTAACAACTGCCTCTTGATCTATGTACAGGTTCTTCTTGGGCATGATTAAGTGTTCTGGAATGCCTATTCTTCTCAATGTTACATATTGCTTGTAATGATTTGCACAGTAGAATGCCTTTGCATAGTGAATAAAGTACAAGTAGACACCTTTCTGGTATTCTCTGCTTTTAACCAAGATCAGTCTAACATCAGCAATACTGTCCCTCATTCAACTTCCTCTTTTGAATTTGGCTTGAAGTTCTAGCAAGTATCTTTTTTTTCTTCTTTCCAAAAATATCATTTAATATATTAATTTTAATATGCATAGAAAATTCTTTAATAAGAACATGAGAAACTGAAGCTGTCAAGGTAAATTGGCTGTTTAAAAATAAATAGAAACCAAGTAGATAATCCAATTAAATTTTATTTTAACTTTCTTTTTAAAATTTTTATTGTGAATTGACTGATAGTTTATATGGGAGAACAACAGTATTTGGTTCTAGTCCCTCTGATTTTTTGTTTTGTTTTGTTGGGAGAGGGGGATGTACACAAAAACACTCAGGAATATATAACAATTTAAACAACCAAAGGGCACATTCTGCAAGCCTGCCTCCTGGCCCCCAGCTCTCAGTCTTTCTTTTTCCATGAGTTTAGAATACTCAGCTGCTCTCTCTCTCTCCATGTCCTCATCTCTGCCTCCATCTCTGATGTCACTGCTTTCTCTGGATAGGGTCCCACATTCCACTCATGCTCTTCTCCTTTGATGGTCCTAGGGTCCTCTGTTCCTGGACTGTAAGATTAATTACTCCCCTTCTACCTTTATCCCCATCTCTTTTCACCAGACCCGTCTAGACAAGATGAAAACTATTCAGTGGGGACTCTACCTTGCCCCACACACTCTTAAACTAAATTCTCTCTTGAAAATTTGTAAGCCAGTCACTTCATGCCTTAATCACCCCCTTATTTTAGGTAGCCAATGTACTGATGCAACCGTGGTAGAATTATCTCCAGCAAAATTTGTCTTGCATGTAATATTATTCAATAATTTCCCCCATTCCATTGAGTTACCTTTTTTTTGGAATGGGCATAAATATGGATCTCTTCTCATTGGTTTACCAAGCAGCTGTCTTAAAAATTTCTTGCAAAGTAAATGAGTAAATGCTTCCAGTGCTACATCAGTTTATTGAAACATTTCAATTTGTGTTTCGTCAATTTATGGAAACTTGTTTTTCACAAATGCAGCTTGGACTTCTTCCTTCAGTACCATCTGTTATTAATCATATCCTACCTCTTGAAATATTGAACTTTGACCATTTCTTTTTGGCACACTGATTCTATGTATTCTTTCTACCTTCTTTTGATGGTTCCTACATCGCTCAATGTTTTGCACAAAGAATCCTTCAATATTGTTATCCAAAACTTGATTTTTCTCTTTATTTCTTTCAGCTTAAGAAATGTTGAGCATGCTCCTCCCTTTTGGTTTTCTAACTCCAGGTCTTTGCATATTTCATTAGAGTACTTTGTCTTTTTGATCTGCCCTTTGAAAATTTTCTGTTTGACTCTTTTAAACTATCATTTCTTCCAATTGTTTTAGGTTCTCTAAGCTCAAGAGCAAGTTTCAGAGTTTTTTTTCTGATATCCATTTTGGTATATTCTTTCTTTCCTGTCTTCTTAATAATCTTCTGGTGTCTTCATGTGTGATGTTCTTGATGTCATACCACAACTCTTCTGGTCTTCAGACATTAGTGTCTAGTGCATCATATCAGTTCTTGAGATGAAGGATAAATTCAGCTGAGATATATTCAAGGTCATATTTTGGCTCTCATGGTCTCAATTTTAATTTTTTTTTCAGTTTCAGCCTGAACTTGCATGTACTCAATTGATGGTCTATTTCACAGTCAGCCCCTGGCCTTGTTTCAGCTGCTGATATTGAACGTCTCCATCGTCTCTTCCCATAGATGTACTCAATTTGATTCCTGTATATTCCATTTAGTGAGGTCCACCTGTAAAACAATGGTATTTGCAATGAATAAGTTATTCGTCTTGAAAAATTCTATCATTCAATCTCCAAGCATTGTATCTATCATCAATGCCATGTTTTCCAACTGCTGGTCTGTCTTCTTTGTTTCCAACTTTGCATTCCAGTCACCAGTAATTATCAATGAATCTTGATTGCATGTCTGATCGGTTTCAGATTGAAGAAGTTGGTAGAATTCTTCACTTTTATTCTCACTAGCTTTAGTGGTTAATGTATAAATTTGAATAATAGTGGTATTAACTGATCTTCCTTGTAGGTGTATAGATATTATCCTATGATTGACAGCATTGACTTTTAAGGTAGATGTTGACATGCTCATTTTAATAATGAATGTGATGCCATTCCTCTCCAATTTTTCATTCCTGGTGTAGTAAACTATGATTGTTGGATTCAAATGGACAATACCAGTTCATTTTGTCTCACTTGTTGTTGTTAAGTACCACTGAGTTGGTTCCAACTCATAGTGACCCTATAGGATTTCCAAGGAGCACCTTGTGGGTTTGAACTACCAACCTAGAGGTTCAAAATCCAGTTCTGATCCTACAGCACCATACTAGAAGTTCTTTCAGCTCACTAATACCTAGGATATTGAACTTTATGCATTGCATTTCATTTTTGATGACTTCCATTATTCCTAGATTTTTACTAAGTGCATTTCACACACTATGGAATGGCTGTTTGCAGCAGTTTCTTCGCATTTTGACTGGTGCCCCATCACAAATGAAGGTTCCAACAGCTTTGCTCCATTCATGTCATTAAGGTCTGCTCTAATTTGAGGAGGCAACTCTTCTGCATTGGTATTTTGAGTGCCTTTCCTGAGGGACTCCTCTTCCAGCAGCATATCTGACAGGGTTCTGCTGCTATCCATCAAGTTTTCACTCTCTCTTTCTTCCTGACTCTGTGTTAGTCTGTATGCTGTACTGAAACCTACCCATAATGGATGACCCTCTGGTATTTAAAATACCTGTGGCATAGCTTCCAGCATCATAGAAACACACAAGCCACTGCAGTATGACAAACTGATAGGTGAGTGGTGGGCTCATCAAAGTAGGATGTATACATTATCTCTGTGGGCTCTGTTATGCCAGCTGAGCTTGGCCTCCCTAGAAACTGTGGTCTTGATTCCCCAGATCCAGTGACTTAAGGGAGTACCCTTAATACATTTGGTTCTAAGAAGTTTTCATAACTTTGCCCCCTGTATGCTTTGCTATATTAATGCATATATTTGCAACAGAGCTAAATATTCTTCATTATGTTTTAGAAATCATTTGAAATAAGCACAAGTGAATCAAATTTCCTACAGAGTTCAATGTAGGTAACTTTGAAAGCTTTAGCTGTTCTACCCAGAGTCTACCCAGGAATCAAGATGGCTAACATTTATTAAGAGCTTACTTTGTGCCACTTAGTCCTTTAATTACTTTATGTATACTAAGTCATCTAAATCTCATGACATCCCTACAAATTAGAAATTATTATTATCCTCATCTTGGTGCTGAGGAATTGAAACTGAAAAGGAATGGTAGACTCATAATTTTAAATCAGAAAGTCTGACTCAAACACCTATATTCTTCACTATCATGGTATGTTGCTAAGAATCTGACATCAGGAATTATTTGTTCAAAGAAAGAATATGATATCAGCATTGTTAATAACTTATCACCACTTAAGTATCATAAAATTTACCAGAAAAATACCATTCTTATATGAATATACTTATCAGTATAATGATATCGTTTGGAGAATAATGATATTTAACTATGAAAAATTGACTTAATATATTGCCAACGTAATAATACTTTTTTTCTTAATCTTTTCAGCAATCTTGACACAGAAGAACTATGTGGTAAGTTTCTTTAAGACTAACTCGATCTAACACTTGCTTTAGAATGAAAAATACTGTCTGATATATTTCTGCATACTTTGCAATGGGTGTCAGACAGTAGGAATTATGGATTGAAGTAAAAGGTAAATTGAGGTCTTAAGACAGTTACTTTTCTCCATGAATTTTGCTTGATCATCTGTTCTAGTGCCTCACTGCAGAAAGAGGTGGCTCTCATGAGTTTGTTCATGGCAAAAGAGCTGTTATTGAAACTGGTGCAATGGTTTCACAAGCACAAAGTCTCCACTAATTTGGATATATTTTAAAATCAGTGTTTAATACAACTTTATTATTCTTTTCACAATATATTGTACAGTGTCTTTTGTTACTGCTTGGCACACCTGGCTCCCTGAAATATAAAAATAGCTTTGTTCCATACCTGCCCACACCATTCTAGAATTTTAAATGTCACTTTCAAAACACGTGATGTGACAAGAAAAGATAAATCTCTATTTTTATTTGATGCAATAAGAAATGCATGGTTTGATGACCTCTTCATTTGCTTTATCTTTGTGATTGGAAACAAAATCAAAGACTAGTATTATGTAAAGGTTAATATTTCTGAATTAAGTTTTTGGCATTAAAAATATGGAGCATTATTAGACAATTAAATTGCAATGAACTCATGATGACCTTATGTATGGCAGAACACAACGTTGCCCAGTCCTGCCTCATCCTCATGATCACGGACATGTTTGAATTCATCACTGCAACAATTATGTTAATCTATCTCACTGAGGGCTCCCTCACCTTTACTGGCCCTCTAATTTATCAAGCATTTCTTCCTCAAGCAATTGATGACTTCTAATGACCTATCAAGAGTCCTGGTATGGTGCTGTGGGTTAATGCACTGGACTTCAAGGTCACTTTCAACTGCAAGGTCAGTGGTTCAAGCTCACTAACTGCTCCTCAGGATGACTATGGGTCAGAACCAACTCAGTGACACTTAACAACAACTACAATGACAATGTTGTATCAGGGAGTCCTGGTGTGGTGCCATGGGCTAATGTGGTGGACTGTGAAGTGGTTTGAACCACAAGGTCCGCAGTTCAAGCTCACCAGTCATTCTTGGAAACATGATACAGGGTCCCTATACGTCAGAAGCAACTCAACGGCACTTAACAATAACAATAATGACATATCAAAAGCAAGCAAGTCAGACAACACTCTGTTGTAATCCATAAGGTTTTCATTAGGTCATTTTCAGAAGTAGATCACCAGACATCTCTTCCTAGTTAGAAGCTCTGCTGAAACCTCTTCATCATGAATCATTCTAGTGGTGTTTGAAATATTGGTGACATAATTTTCAGCAACATAGCTGACAGATATGCAGTGATTTTGAAAGTTCTATGTTTTATCTTTCAAAAGTAAATGTACAGGATATAAGTTTAACCTTTTTGTCTAGGTTGCTTCTTATAACTCTGATGGCTCAAGGTGAGTATCTCTGAAACATCCTAATTGAAGCCACAGCATTCACTGAATATATTATAATTTTTATAGATCTCTAGTTTACCAGACCATCAAAAAAAGCCTTTTTAATCTTTAAGAATAGTAATCTTGAATATTGCAGACTAGGTAGGTTCCCTACATGGACCCTCTACAACAAAGATACAAGAGAAAAAATAAGACAGACACAGATGAAAATTCTGGCAGCCTGAGCTTCAGAAAAAATGGTAGAGATGGAGGAGAGGTCAGATAGGGACAGCAAGAGAGGAAGGCTGACTGGTAAACAACTGGCCATTTGCATCATCACGGTCAACTCTACTTTGAGGAGGCAGCTCTTCCCCAGTCACATTTTGAGTGTCTTCCAACCTGTGGGGCTCATTTTTCAGCACTGTATCTGACAGTGTTTCTCTGCTATTCATAAGGTTTTCAGTGACTAAATATTTGGAAATAGTTCATCACTCCTGCTTCCTAGTCTGTCTTCGTCTGGAAGCTCATCTGAAACCTGTTCACCATGGGTGACCCTGCTGGTATTTAAAATACTGGTGGCATAGCTTCCAGAATCACAGCAACTCACAAGCCACATTGACAAACTGACATTGGAGCAGCGGCAATCCAGATATAGAAGTATATGAAACCTACAAGACTCAAAATAGGGATCTAGAGATATCAATGTATAAAGAAGTCAACTTGAAAACAAAAAGAGGGAATAGTGTAGATACAGAACTTCCAAATGGCAAGGAAGTCAAGTAGATTTCAAGGTAAAACAGACTGTTTTAAGCAGGGAAGATATTAGTAAATTACAGAGCATCCTCAAAGAGAAATAATCCACCAACATATCAAGATAAAAAAAAGACAAAAATCAGAAAGACTTTTTAAACATTAACTCAACAGAAATGAAAATGAAGAAAACCCACAAACAAAATGAACTCAGCATAGAAAATTATGTGGAACAAAGAATATAGCAGCACCACACACATACACAAACACACACAAAAAAAAACACACATAAAACTAACAACAATCAATTCATACCTATTGATAATTACACTGAATGTAAATGGATTAATTGTACTAGCCAAGAGACTTAAGGAGCAGAATGAATAAGAAAACAAGATCCTTCAATATGCTGTCTATAAGACACATATCAAAAAGATGGAGACAGCCTAAATGCCCATCAACAGATGAAAGGTTAAACAAACTTTGGTACATACATATATAATGGAACACTACAAAATGCTGAATTATAATGATGAATCTGTGAAACACTTCACAGTATGGTTGAACCTGCAAGACATTATGCTGAGTGAAATTAATCACAAAAGGACAAACATTGTATGAAACCAGTGTTGTATAAAGTTTTGAAAAAAAAGGTTTTCTTGATAAAAGAAACAATCCATGATGGTTACTGGGGGGGTGGGTGAGAGGGGTAAGGCTAGGGTTAGGCCATGTTAACATGGGTGACAGGGCAAACAGTATACAACAAGAGGGAAGTTAGCAGAGAAAAGATGAAGGTAGTGGGAGACACGGAGGAATGCTATAGCTAAAGTGAATAGAGGTAAATCATTGGAGTAAAAAATGCACACTAGTCTGTAGAAATATAACCCCAAAGGGAGTTTTACCTGGAGGGGATTGCAACCATGTAGTAAAGCAAAATGTATGGCTTATTGAATATTAAACTGATGATCTTCTCTTCATTCAATTCACAACAAAGTTAAAAAAAAATAAGAAGAAGAATATTTGTCTTCCATTTTAAAAGAATATCTGAATCCAGGGTTTCTGAACAAAGCTAATATGATAATCATCAACTATGAGTCTTAAAATATTCCATGATCATAAATATTCGATATTCCTGTTCCTACACAGTGTCTATCCCAGACTCAGGAAGAAGAATCCTACTTAATTTTTTTTTTTTTTTAATGCAGAAGCAAGGTGTTTTAATAGCAAGCAGATGACGCTTTTATTAGTTAGGAAACAGCATCAGAGAATAACAGACCAAATCCTAATATGCTTCCTTGCTGAAGACTCTAGACTTACAGAAAGAGAAAGGCTGTGTGGTGATAGCCAGGAGGCAGGCTTGCAGAATGTGCCCTTTGGTTGCTTAAATGATTATATATTCCTAAGTGTTTTTGTGTACACCCTCCCCACCCCTCCTCCCCCAAAATCCTGAAGGAATAGAATCAAATACCATTGAATGATGATGCACAGAGGAGATTGTAATCATTGCAATAAAACCATTAGTGTAAAACTGATGTTCTCCCGTATAAACTATCACTTAATTTGCAATAAAAAAACTTATTTTTAAAAATCTTAATGTGCATTCATATACTATCTGGCTATGGTATCATCCATGCATGGTTATTCAACTATACTAAGGGGCCAATGGAGTCTTGTAGTGCAGCTGTTAAAGCTCTTAGCTGCTAATCCAAAGGTTGATGGTTCAAATCTACCAGCTGCTCTGCTGGAGAAAGATGTGGCAGTCTGTTTTTGTAAAGATTTATAGCCTGTGGGGCAGTTCTGCTCTGCACTACGAGGTTGCTATGAGTTAGAATCGACTGTAAAGCAATGGGGTTTAAGATGTGAAAAGGGCTCCTAAAGAACCTAGGTCACCAGGCTAAAGTGATGAGAAGCAATCACCATAAAGGTAAGACCAGAGACCAGGACCACTCTTCCATGTGCAGGTACCAGTGAAGTGCAAAGGTAAAGGAGAGACTTGAGATTAGTTTAATAAGTCCACGAGGAATAATTTCATTTGCCTCAAATGTATAGATATTTCAGTTACAAGTTATCTTTTCCTCAAATTACCCAGATAATTCTTTTTGTTCTCCACTGAACTTTGCTTGGGTAGACATGACTCATGAGAAAGCACCTAATAAGGACTTTTAACATCAAAATATTGAGGGTCTCTTCTTTGTTTTAGTTGTTACTGTTATTAAGGAATGTTAAGTCTCTGGGTGGCACAAGTGGTTTAGGATCAGCCAGTAACCTAAAGGTTGGTGTTTTGAACCCACCCAGCAACCCCACCAAAGAAAGACTTGACAATCTGCCTCCATAAAGATTACAGCCAAGGAAGCCCTCAGGAGCATTTCTACTCTGTAATGTAGGATCTCCATGAGCCAGAAGTGACCCAATGATAATAAGTGTTTCCTATTTGTTTTTTGTAGTAAGGAATATTGTATTGTCCTCTGTTCTTCCCTTAAAAGTACTTAAATTTTAAAGTCTGATAGTGTATCTCCACTATATCCTCTTCAAAAATAATTTTGGAATCTGTTTTTTTCCATATAATAAAGGAAAATAGCTTAGAAACCTACTCTGTACTTAGAGAAAACACTATGGCTATGACTTCCCCAGTAATTTGAGTTGTTCTAGTTAAGTGCTGTTGAGTCTGTGCCATCTCCTAGCAACCCTGTATAGATTTTCTAAGGAGTGGCTGGTGGGCTTGAACTGCCATCCTTGTGGTTCAAACCAACCTTGTAATCCAGTGGTTGCCTTAAAGCACCACAATCAGAACTACTTAGATT